GATTTTTATACAAAAACGCAAAAGACCGCCAAAAAATTTTTAAAAAAAAACGTCCGAAAAAAATATTTAACAATTATTACTTAGGCGTGACAATAGAAAAAAAAAATCGTTTTAAAACCTTTCACAACAAGAAAAAAAAAACAATTGGCAAACCTGACAAAAGACCTTGGCAAGGAAACACACACACACAATTCAATTAAATATCAACGTAAAATTTTTTTCACCCTCTCTCCCCTCCCCCCAACATCGTGTACAAACGTTAACAAAAGCAAACAAATTTTTTTTTTTTTTTTTTTTAATTCTTATTCCACGTCCTATTATTAAAAATCTCTCCTTCCACTTTTTTTTATTTTATTCACCGATAAAAAAGTTATCATTTTTTTTTTAAATTTAACGGTTAAAATTCAAAGGAAATTCCATTAGAAATCTCGGAAAATGGTTTATTTACTCTATGACCTTTTAATTCGTATTTAATATAATAATAATCCATTATCACCACTTACGACTTTTCTTCTTCCTCTTCTTCCTTCGCTTACCATCACCGTCGTCGTCATCGTCATCATTTTATTGTCTTCTGCTTTATAGTCACGCTATATTGTTTTGCTATATTTTCGAATGAAAAACATAGATTAAAGAAATTTTTTTTTTTTTGATTTTCCCGTTATTTGACTCATTAACCGCCGCGCGCGCGACTGAGTAGTTTTTCTTATCACTTTTTATTTTTATTTTTTTTTGTTCTAAAACTCTCGAAATCATCTCGTATGAAAAAAAAATTTTTTTTTAGTTTTTCCCTTTCACTTCTTCTCTTACGATTCTTCTTCGTCCATTGTAGTATTTGTTTGTTGTTCCATCTTCCTTCTCTCTCTCTCTCTCTTTCTCTCTCTAAACGATTTTCATTGAATCGAACAATCGATAGAATCTTGTTTGTTTCTTCTTCTTTTTTTTTGAACGAAAAATAATATACAACTTTCAAATTCATTTCCTTCTTTTTTTGTTTTGGCGTTATCCTCCGTTTTTCTTCCTTCCTTTTTTTTCTTGTCTGATTCGATCGACATTTAAATTATTATTATTATTATTAACTATCATTTTACGATGACCTTTTATCACTCTTTCTCGAGTAATAATAATAATAATAATAAAACGTTTGATTTTTATTTTAAATACACAAAAAAATTTGTTTCTTTTTTTTTTTTCGTGTTTCTAAGTAAGAACGAACGTTGATATCGTGGATTTAGAATCTTGTTCAGGACCGTTATTGGGTTGATCCGGCCAACATTCTATAATAATCAATGAACTCGACTAATCCGGATTTTTTTTTTTTTTTTTAAATGATCAAATCAATTGTCATCGTAAATCGTTCGTTGTTCGTAATACTTTTTTTTTATTTAATGGATTTCCAAAACGTTTTTTTCAAAAAAAAAAAAAAATCCAAAATGGCGGACTCACGATTCGTTTGTTTGTTGTTTGTATACGTTTTGCAAATCGTTCCGTAATTTTTTCCCTCCCATCAAAAAAAAAACAATTTTTTTTTTTGTTCAGGTACGAATAATTAAATATTAATTGAAATTGAATTTTTTTTTTAAATTCGACCTTGCAAGGCCGTTTCCGAAAGAAACTCGAAGGTTTTTAATCATTATTCCTTTCTTTTTTCAAAGTTTTTACCCTCGGGTTTTTTCGTACCTGAATTTTTTTTTTTTTTTTTACTTTATGTAATGAAACCTATTAAAAAATTACACACGTAATTGTAGCTCTGGAATGTTCTTTTTTTTTACTTTAAATTACACAAATACCTTAAATTCTTTTTCGTGTCATTTTTTTGTTTTCGTTTGTTTGTTTGTTTGTTTGTTCCGATTTTAGAAAATCGCAAAAAAAAAAAAAAAATTTTGTCCGAGAATTATATTAATATAATTTACCTAACGGATATTTGATCTATTTTTTAAAGAGCACACAAATTACAACAACAACAAAAAAAGAAAAATTCGAAAATATTAATAATAATAATAATAATAATTTTTAATGTTTGTATGTTTGTGAGGAAAGAATGGAGAAGGGGGGGGGAGAGAGGGAGGGAAATGGATCATAATGCGGCGTGGGTACTACACGTTAAAATCGCTCGAAAATAAATTTCCAGTTTATTTGTAATTTTAATTTTTTTTTTTTTTTTTTACGCGATTCGACTTTATTTAATTAAAAAAAAAAAAAAGAAAGAAAGAAAGAAAATGGCGGCGTGTAAAGTCGACAACAACAAATAAAATTTTAAAGTAGGACTCACGTGAATTGTTGAATTTTTTTTTTGTAGCTTAAAGCCTTTTTTTTTTTATTAATAAAAACAAAACCTGAAAAGATAAAATGTCGAGGGGGCATCAACGAATAACAGCAAACCAAACAATCATTATTATTATTATTGTGAAATCACGTTGCGAAAAGAAAAAGGTTTTCAATTTCGTACCTGGATACAAAAAGAAAAAGAAAAAGTACCAACGAAAATAACGAAAAAAAAAATTTTTTTTTCTTTTTTGATGATTCACTATTTGAAAATTTGATGAGTATGTGGTAGTACCAACAACAACAACCATACAAACACCAGACGACGACGACGACGACGACTTATGTCATGTCCTGGACAAGAAATATTTGTTTAGTAGGACATGGTCGACAGTTAAACTGGAGTGAGGGGGAGTCGAATAGATAAAAAAAAATAATAATAATAATTAATAAATAATAATAATAATAATAATAATAATAATGATGATGATGATGATGATTCATTAAAAAAAAAAAAATACGTTTTAAATACCGTCGTCTAATTCCACGTCGACAGACAACATTCACAATGACCCTACAGTTAGTTATTTTTACTGCTCTTTTAAATTAAATTATTTTATAAACTTTTTGTTTTCGTAATAAATAAATAAATAAAAATGGCGGATGGAAAAATAAATAAATAAATAATCAAAACATGCTTCGACTCATAGCCTGGAGAAAATTTTTTTTTTTTTTTTTAATAAGAAATCTCATTCGAATAACTGGAAAAAAATTTTATTTCCCAAATAGGATTTTGTTTTTTTTTTATTTTGGAAAAACGACAGGTACGTATTCAGGAAATAATTTTTTATGCTACTACGACTAATTTCTAAAACTTATTCTCATTTCTCTACTCTCCATACACCACCACCACCATCACCACCATCACCACCGTTACTCTCGCTTTATTCAGCCTCCTCCAATAACTCAAAAAAAATATATGTATATATATTTTGTTATCGGAAATTCATTATTACAGGTACGTGACCTTGTCCGTTTGTGTGTACCTGAACCGTATAAGAATCGATCGTGATTCATTAGGCATAACCGTTGGTTGAATCATTTTATGTTTACTCACTACTCATTCTAAACGACAAGGGAATTTTTTTAATAAACTGCCTAAATTAAAACAAACGCACGATGATAATAATAATAATAATAATGTTTTTGTAATCATTTCCGGAAACAGATTTTTAATGAAAAGAAAAAAAAAACCGTCGTTTTTCGAAACGCATTTTGATTTGTTTATCGATCGATACTCATGAAAAAAAAAAAAAAATCGATGAAATATTTTTCGATTAAGGTTTTATTTAAAAAGTTAAAGCGAGGTTCAGTCTAAATCGGGTTCAGAAATCGTCTGCGCTGGAGGCGAATTCAGGCAATGTTGTCATGTTTCAACAATCGCTCGCACTCCTGCTACCACAACGGAAACAACAACAACAAAAAAAAACCGTCCGACACAACAACAACAACAAAAAAACCACAACAACAACAACAACAACAAACGTGCAAACGGAATCGATCGCGTTTTCGTTACGTGTTAAAAAAAAAAAAAAAAAAGATTTTTTTTACACCTCCTACGATTTTTTATCAAAAAATGTCCCCGTTCCCCTTCCCGTTCCCCCCATTTTCTCCCTTATCGAATTAATAATTTCCTTATACGTTTAATTTTTAAACCAGAATTTATAAACTTTTAAATATTAGCAATAAAACGGTTGGCTAACATGTGCAAAGCTATGCACATAAAAAAAAAAAAACTCAAGTTTATTAACTCTCGGCGCAAAAAAAAAAAAAAAAAAAAAAAAACTCGAATCAAACCCAGACAGGTTTTTTTTATGAATCTCGAGAGAATGGACCGAATGTTGATGCTGCAACAACTAAATCCTTATATATATACATCTGGGTTTGAGATTTTTTCTTTTTCCGTCCGTGTCGTACGTACAAAAAAAATTCATTTATTAAAATGTCGGCATTTGAAAAAATTTAATTAAATACGTCATCTATAAACGTTCGATTCTTTTAACTATGACGTCATTTAATCGTTTATTCGAAACGTTTTCCACGAATGAAAATGATGTTTTTTTTTTTTTTTTTTTTAAAGTTCGTTACACGTTCGAAAGCAGAAGAAAAAAAATATCGATCGATCGATCGATCGATTTTTTTTAAAAAAAAGTTAGTTAGGTAACTAACTAATAAATTGATCGATTTAAATGGGGGGAGGGGGAAAAAAAAGGTAAATTCGATGAGCAGTAACGTAACTAGTCTATTATTGTGTTACAACACGTAAGTAAATAATAATAATAATAATGATTTAATAATAATTTTTAAAAAATTTTAAAAGCACGACGGTTTTTTTTTTTTTAAATTGTTTTAATTTTTAATTATTACCATTTATTATTATTATTAATAAAACCGTAATAACCGAACCTAATAGTTTTGATAATAATAATAATAATAATGATAAATTATTCTCGGGTTTTTCTAACGGTTTAATTTTTTTTCGAAAAAAATAAAATAAAAATAAAAAAAAGCCTACAATTGTAATGACGGGTGGCCTAAACAAATTTTTTTTTTTTTTTTGTACTTTTACGGTAATTTTCTAACTCCACGATAAAATTTTTTTTTTTATTTTATTTTCTTCCGAGTGAAAAATACAATGGATAAGATATTGTTTATTGACCAGAAACTGTTATGTGATGCACACACACCTTCTTCCCCTCTTTTACTTTTCTATTACCACTTCTTCAACCTTCTTCTTCTCTCCTCTCTTCTCTCTCATTCTTATTCTTATTCTTTTCCTTACACATTCGAATAATTTTATTTCGGTTACGTGCTTACGGAGTGTATCGCGTTTAAAAGAAAGAAAGAAAAAACACGATTCGTTCATTTTCGAATGATTAAAGTGGATGAGAGAGAGAGAGAGATTTTGCGAACGTTCAAATTTAAGATTTCTTCAAAGAAAAAGATCGTAAAAAAAACGGTTTCGTCGCCATTCGTTAATTTTTTCTTTTGCCATTTTGGTATGATTTAATTCCAATGGCGGTCAAGACGAGGGAGTCAAGGTCGAGACGACTGAACAAAAAAAGGCACAATATGTGCATGCGTGCGTGCGTGTGTGTGCATGTGTTAAAAACGCATAACCGTGTCTCTCTCTCTCTCCCTCTCTGTCTCTTTGCATTACCGATTCTAGTTTCTTTTTATTATTATTATTATTATTATTATTATTATTATTCTCGATTTGAAACGGTCTTGGCCGTAAATTTCCTCGTCCTTGAAAGGGCATTGTCTGCACTTTGTGTGTTGTGGGGTTATTGAATTTCATTCCTTCCGTCGTATACGTTTTATAATATAATAATAATATCAGTGGCGAAAACAGGATTCGAACGAACCTTTAAAAAAAAAATAAAAACAAACGAGTTTCTAACTAAAATCGTTTGTTGTTATACAACAACAACAACAACAACATACGGGATGAATAATTTATTCCAAAAAGAAAAAAAAAATTCTTAATCCGACATTTTTTTTTTTTTTTTAATTTTTACGTGACTTAAATGTTCTTCTGCTTTTTTTTTCCAGTCATGCAGTCTCGCGTTCCTCCCTCGAGTTATTTCCTTTTTTTTTTTTTTTGTATCTTTTAAGGTTCTTTTTTTGTGTCATTTTTTTTTTTAAACAAACAATACAACAACAAATTCCATCCAAAAATTTTTTTTTTTGTACGAATAACTTCCTTTCTTTCCTTTCTTTCTTTCTTTCTTACTTTTTTCCAATAAATTATTTGTGTTCAGGTGTCAGTTTAGAAAATTTAAAAAAAAAAAAAATGCACACATCAAAAGGTCGAACAGTAGGACAATAATAATAATAATAATAATATGCGAAGAAGAAAACAAACGACCAAAAAAAAAAATACCTTTTTGTTTGTGTGTGTATGTGTTTGTTTTCTTTCATTCTTCCCCTTTTTTGTTTTGTTTTCAATAACATTCTAAACGAAACAATTGATTTTTTTTTTTACTGTTCTTAACAATTTCTGGAAATTTTTCATTTAATAAATAAAAAAAAAAATTAAAATAAAGCACGCAAATAATAATATAATATAAATAATAATAATAATAATTGTTTGACTTGGCAGTATTGAATTACATAAACTGAACTAATTATTTATAATAATAATAATGATTTTTTTTTTTTTTATTAAGAATTGCTGATTTGACTGACTGTCGTCGTCGTGAATTTTATTTTTGTTTGTTTGTTTGTTTTTGTTATTGCCATAACTTGGCGTATGTACTCCTTCAACCAACGGTAACAAACAATGAGAGTTGGTTTATTAAAAAAAAAAAAAAAAAATTTTTTTTTTTTTTTGCGTAATTTTGATGTGTCGTAACTTTTTTTTTCTACGTTTTCTTCACGTATTATTTCATTCAATAAGTAATAATAAAATTTAATGATGATAATAATAATAATAATAATAATAATTACATAAAGTCATTGATTAACGAAATTTTTCGTTATTTTCGTAGCGTCGTCTGCAAAAATTTTAAAGTTTTTTAAAAACGAGAAAAAAAAATTTTTACAAAAAATTAAAATTCGATTTTAAATTTAAATTACGCACATTTAAATAATCGTAATGATAATGATAATAATATTATTTCGACCTATTTCAATGTGGAAACATACAAACAAACGAACGAACGAATTAGCGAGAGCTTTTTTTTTTGTTTTTACGAAAGTAAATTCCAGTTATTTAAACTTTAAAATAATGATATCAATTTAAAAAATCTTTTTTTTTTTTAATTTTGTTTGTTGTTGTTGTTGTTGTTAATGCGTTTAAATGCTCCGTTTTAATTATTTTTAAAGTTTGTAAAAAGTTTTTTTTACAAAAAAACTTAACGGCGAAAAAAAGTGGTTTTAGATATTATAAAAGATTAAAAAAAAAAAAAAATTTTTTTACAACTTTTTTTTTTTTTTTTTCATTTTAACTTTAATTACTTAATCTGACATTGAGTTACTTTAAAAAAATTTTTTAAACTGCAAATAATAATAATAATAATAATAATAATAATAATAATGAAAAAAGTGACCATTGTGACCATTTTATCACGTTCGCACACGTTCGTATGATTCGAAAATCGAAATAAATTTGCAAAAAAAAAAAAAAAAAAAAACAATTTTAAAACAATAATAATAAAAAAATGGCCGAAATGATTACGCGGTTGGTTACAGAGAGTGATAATGAGATTGATAAGAATTTTTGTCGTTTGAATCGATGTACACGTCATCGGGATTGCGGTACTTAACGATGAAAAATTAAAAAAAAAAAAAAATTTGGATCGTAAATTTAAATATGATGAAATCATTATCGGATCAACAAAAAAAAAAAAGTTTGTCTCTCGTGACACGACGGTCGATGATATCAATATTCAAAATGGAAAAAAAAAAAAAACAAGGTTTGGCAAATATCAAAAGAGAGAGAGAGAGAGAGGATCGTACAATCACCTCTAAATACGGAAATTTTATCAAAATTTTCCAACTTAATTTTTATGCGATGCGACAACCAAAAAAAAAAAAAAAAAACAACGACAAACGAGTATCATCCAAAAAAAAAAAAAAATTTCAAATCACATACGACGTCCAGTCTAACAAACAACAACAACCAAACTAATAAATTTTTTATCTTTTATTTTGCCTTCACATTTGATAAAGCGAAACAAACGACTTCGAATTGATTCGAACACGAAATAAAAAATAAAAAAAAATCGTTCGTTCGTTTTCTCGAAATTTCGATACTCTGGTGATGCTGACAAACAACCATAATCAAACGTCCTTCCTCTTTCTAACATCAACAATTTGTTTTTGTAAAATAAATTATTATTATTATTAAAAAACATAAAAGAAAAGAAATAATTATCGTTACTTAATACGACAACCGAAAACAAACTCATTGCTACCTATATTTTCTTTCTCTCTCTCTCTCTCTCTAATTCATTATCCCAAAGACGTAACATTAAAATGTTGTAATTTAATTTTCTTCTACCACTTCTCACTATCTCTCTCTCTCTCTTTCCATTACCATCTTTTTTTCTTTTGTTACATTCAAGGAATACAATCTACAAAAACGATTTGAATAAATTGTGAGAGACGATTGTAAATGTAATGTAAAAAAAAAAAAAAAATTACAAGCGTAATAATAATATTTGTAGTAAAAGTGATTGTATCACTTTTTTTTTTTTTTTTTATGGGGGTCTTTCGAGACACGACAAAAACGAAGAAGAAAAGATGATTGAGGTTGTATAGAAAACAAAGCGACAAACAAACGCAACAACAACAAAATTACAAATAAATTACATTTAAACGCAAAGTTATCGTTTTGAATTCATAAAGTATATAAAATCTTAAATTACTCAATTAACTTTACAATTGTAATACGAATAGAAAACAAATAAGTAACAACGATTCGTAAGAAACAACAACAACAACAAACAACAAACAACTGCAACGAATCATTTACACTTGTACAAAATACGAATTTCGCAACAAAATGAAAAAGGAAAATAAAATGCGGACGTGAATTAATGGATGAGTCAAAAACCATTGAAAAAAAAAAAACGTACGACAAACAAACTAACAAACAAGCAAACAAACTTGTCAATACGTCAAAATGTTAAATGACGATTCACATTCGCCAAAAAAAAAAAAAAAAATTTTAAATGTTGTTAAAAATAAATAAACTGGAATTTTTCATGACGCATTTTTTTTTTTTAATTATTCAAATAAAATATCTAGAAAATTCTACGAACGAATAAAAACCTTTAAAAAAAAAATTACAAAAATACGTGAATTAAATAATACAACGCCTAAAAAAAAAGGGAAGTGAAATACTAATAATGATAATAATAATGATAATGCACACGACATTTGGTTTTTCCAACAACAACAAAAAAAATTTTCTTATTTGTATTCACTTAAAAGATTCGTACAAACAAACAAACAGACAAAAAAACTTTTTTGGTCATCATTGCTTTCATTCAGGTAGTGCGAATATTAATAAACAATTTTTATTTTTCATCGAAATAAATAAAAAATAAAGCAAACGCAACAAACGAATTATTGTTTCGTATCGGATTGTTATTTCTTTTTACAATTTCTGGGAAATTAAAAGCTCAAAGGTCAACTCGGGTGCAAATGTAAAAATTCATACGAATTAAACAAAAAAAAATTTTTTTTTTTTCCTATTAATTATCAAAGTACCCGGTCAATCTCTTTTCGTTTCTAGAAATTTCTTCTTCTTCTTCTTCTGCTTCTTCCTTTGAAATATAAACGAATCGATAATAATAAATAAAAATCGACGCGTAAGATTTTAAAAATGAGAGAAATTTATTCGCGATCTCGCCATTTTTTTCTCTTTCACGTTTGTTTTGTTTACATAATTTCGCAGAAATGAAAATTCCTCCTATTTTTTTCTTATGCGTTTTTGTTGAGTTTATAAAGTAATAATAATAATAATAATAATAATAATAATGATGATGATGATGATGACGTATACCATTTGATCGATGATCAATAGTTTCATTTACTTTGCGTCAAATTTATTTATACTAACTCTTACAATGACGTCACGACACTATTTCAAATAACGTATGTTTTTTTCATCATCATCATCGTCATATGCTGCGCTTATAAAGTTCTCCGACAATGTTCTAGAACAAAAAAAATTTTTTTCCAGAACTTTCGAAAGCACCTTAACGACTTGGGAAATTTTTTTTTTTTTGGGGGGTAAAAATTCTTAAACGTCAATACAAAAACTAACCGAAACCTTTCTGCCTGTTCCACCGCGTCATCATCTCGAATTATTTCGAGATATTATTCAATCGTATCGAATGCGACAAAAATCGAAAAGAGATAAAGAGAGAGAGAGAGAGAGAGAACAAAAAAAACTTTTTCGCAAATGCTTCGAGCACTTCTCGATCGTATTTGGAAAAATATTTTTTTTTTATTTTTATCGTGTCAATATATTCAAGGTTTTTATCATTATTATTATTATTATTATTTATAGCATGCCCCTTTCGAACTTATTCGAAACTAAAATTTATGACCAAAAAAAAAAAAAAAAACTTAAACAATAATAATACGATAATATAATATAAAAAAAAAAAATTTATATATATATAAGTAAAATAATTTATATTTGTGCAAACGATTATGAAATCGACAAATACAACAACAACAACAAACAAACAACAACAAAAACAACAATAAAAAACAATAAACAACAAATTACATTTATTATTATTATTATTTGGCAAAAACACAATTGATTTTTTTTTTATCCTTTTCCTTTTTAATATTTATTTATGTTTACACGTAAATGGTCAATGTTATTATTATTATTATTATTATTATTATTACGTTTCTTTTCTTTCTCCCTTTTAATTTGACATAAATTAATAAATAAATAAATAAATAAAAAACCGGACAACTTTCAAGTCTGGTACCACTTTTTTTTAATATTTGTTTTAGAATGGTAATAGTAATAATAAGAAATGCAAAAAATATATATATATATCGAAACGTTTAAAATTTACGCGGCGGAGAATTTTTTTTTCAAATTAGATCCCCTCCCCTCTCCCCCTTCCTCTCTCTTTTATCCAAACGTTATCGCAAATCACGTGATCATCATCGCTCACAATTAATAAATCGATCGAATAATCATGGTTTCCGAAAAAATTATTGAAACGATTGAAATAAAGTATGCGCATGCGCGTGCGTCGACGGGTACGAATTTTTCTATTTTAAAATATACAAAGAAAGAGAGAGAGAAAAAAAAAAATTTTTTTTTTCTTTTTCCGTCTCTTTTCTTCTACTGACACTTTTGTTTGTTGCCCTTTGGGTAGTTATAAAAAAAAAAAAAAAAAAATTCTTTCTTGGAATGATTTTCCATGACGATGATGATAATGATGATGAACAAGGGTAGAGAGAGAGAGAGAGAGATTCTTTCGTTTGTATAAACACAATTTTTTTTTTTTTTTTTTTTTTTTTTTTTACTCGAACTTTTTCGTCAAGTTTGAAATATTTTTTTTTAAAAAAGGCCATTTTTACTTCCTCTAACGAAAAAAACAGAAAAAACCCCCGAGGCCTTTTTTAATAAAAACTTTTTTTTTGTATGTTTTCATCATTACGCGAATTGGAATTTTCACTCATACCCCTTTTTTCGATAAACCATTGTTAATAATAATGATGATTTTTTTAATAATTATGATATTCTCTCACCCCACTCTTTGACAAACCATTGTTAATAATAATGATGATTATTACGATAGAATAATTAATTTATTCAAAAAAAAAACGAGACGAAAGGAATTTCGTTATAACTTTTTTTTTAACTAACCGGGAAAATTTTTTTTGCTACACGTTTTCTCAACTACAAAATATGAAAAATCAATCGATAGAGTTACGTTTATCGATCGATTAAATTTACAAATCATTATTATTATTATTATTATCAGCATTTTCTAAATGGATTTCGTATAAATTTGAACGTTTCGAATTCGAATGAAAATTTAAAACTTCAGATTTTTCTTTTTGGAGACATAGTTACGAAACAGCACTGCCATTACAAAAAAAGAAAAACGTTTGTATGATATAAACTATTAAGAAGTTAACGTTTTTGTAACGAGATTTGGTTATGATTTAAAATTTCGCGAGAAAAAAAACCGTTGGAAAAAATGGTGGGATGCGTCATTTCAAAAATGGCTCCGATAAAATTTATAAATTTAAATTTATAAAAAATTCAAAACTTACCTTATAGTTGATAAAAAAATCTTTTAAAAGGCACGTATGAACCAATAAAATGAAAAGAAATAAAATTCAAATTTTAAAAATTGTTAAAATCCAATCAATAATCGATAAATGTAATCCATAAAATCAATATAAAATCTTTTTTTTAAAATAAAATTACCGTAATAAAACGCACAACAACGACAAAAAAACACACAAAATGTTTTACTATTATTATTATTAATAATTATATTCGTGTCGGTAACAAAAAAAAAAAAAAATTTACAAAAATTTTATCTGTGTCAAAAATTAAAAAAAAATTTTTTTCTTACAAAAAAAAAAAGTAACCGTTACCACTTCCCGCAAGACGAAAGACACTGAATGGTTAAAATTTTAGTGAGTTGTCTAAGAATATGCTTACGAAGAAATACGAAGTTACCCGAAATAACTTTAATACCCGTCGACGACGACGACCGGTTTTTTAGGCGCGATTACAATCTCGATCGCTAAGTATTATTAATTTTTATTTTATTTATTTATTTATTTTAAAGAAATATTATTTTACGATACATAAATTACAATTTTACGTATATTTTTTCATAAATGTAGGAAAAAACCTCTTATTTATTATTATTATTATCATTAATACGACTCTTTAATAATTATTATAAGTTTTTTTTTCACTTAATGCATACGGTGTAAGTAAAAAATTTTTTTTCACAATGTCATAGAGTAAAAAAATAGGATTGAAAAAAAAAAAACCACAGACGTCAAAATTCTATTTCGTTTATCGATAACAAAAACTTATACTACAACAATTGTAATTTTTGGTTTAAAAAAAAAACGTAACGAAATCGTATTATAGGTCGCCATTTTGTTTTTTATTAATAAAATTTATTTATGTCACCGTGTCTTTGTCATCGTACATAAATTTTAAAATATTATTTATTAATAAGTATTAAATTTTTATTATTATATTATCGAATGAGTTATTACATTACAACTTATTCCCCCTTATGCAAATAATAATAATAATATATGTATATATAATTTGATACGATTATTAATTTAAAAAAAAAAAAAAAATTGTAATTCAATATGGCGATCCAGTAAGGAAAAAAAAATATGAAAGAAAGAAAGAAAAGAAAAGAAAAGAAAAAATTTTTTTTTTTTTTTTAAACAACCAATGACCTAAAAAATAATGGATATTCATGATTTCTACTATAAATAATAATAATGATAATAATAATAATGATAATAATAATAATGATAATAATAATAATGATTTTTTTTTGTTTTAATGGATGGACTCCATTATTTTAGTAGATATTAAAAAAAAAAAATTATTACGTTCGATTTAATTGTCTATTGTTCTATAAAAAAAAAAAAAAAAAAAATATTCCAAACGCTACCACGACGACGTCATCATCATCATCATCATCATCATCATTATTATTATTATTTTGTAATAATTTTTTAAAAATATATAGTGATCAATGTCTACTATATATAGCATCTGAATATTTGGTGGCAGTAGTTGTAACTGTCTATGTTAATAATATGACTCTATAATTAACTATTAACTTTTATGGTATTAAATATATATTAATAATCAATCAATTATTTTTTGATTCCACGTTTATCTTTTCCCCCCTCTCCTCCCTTCCCCTTCCTCCTCCGACCTCTTCCTTTGACGTATCCTTTGATTTTAATAACCGCCGCCACCACCGTCATCCCTTTGGGTCAATAATCCGGGTCACAAAAAAAAAAGAAAAATTACGGAGCGATCAAAGGGTAAACGAAAAAGTAAATAATAATAATAATAATGCCCTAAATTTTTTCAAAAAGGATTTGACCCCGTAAATAATTTTTTGACGGGAATTTTTTTTTGGGGGGGGGGAGAAGAAGGGGAGAGACTTGAAGAAACGGAAATGTGTCAGTTCAAAAAAAAAAAAAAGATTGAGTCGTAAAGAACGTGATAATAATGAAATCGAGACTTGTGAGTCGCCGTTTGTTTATATGTGTATTGTGACGTCATCATCCCTTAAAATAATAATAATAATTTTTATTGGGTTGTAAAAAAATAATACATAAACGACAAATTTTGAAACCTTTTTTTTATTTACTTTCTTAAAATTCTATTGTTATTATTATTATTCGGTTACGTTATTTACACGGCAAACGAATAAATAATAATAATAATAATAATAATAATAATAATAATAATTTTTCGAATGTTTTTATTGATTTTTAAATTCGTAAGAACTTTGGAACGAATAATTCAAATGGGTCGATCAATCGATCGATAAGAACGAAAATAAAGATTATGTATATTTATCGTGGTTGTAAATTTTAATACATTTTCCGCTTGTTTGTCGTTTGCTTTTTATTTCCTCTCTCCAAAGGAAAAAACAAACAAACAAACAAAATAAGAAATAAGAAAAAGAAAATGGCGCTCCGATCAAAATGACGTCCTTTGAAAATTTTTTTTTTTTTTTAATTGAATTGATATTACGCATATTTAATGGCGGCGTTGCTAAACGAGTTTCAATAAATAAAAAATCATTATTATTTTTTAATTAAAATTTCGTAGTCGAAAGTACGTTAAACCTGTTCATCATTGAAAAACGTCACGCAAAATAATAATAATAATAAACCATTAATCGAATCTGGTTTTTTATTAATAATAATAATAATATTAAAAACAACAAAAAAAAACTTGTCGTTTGTTAATTCTTGTCGCAACGTTTAAATTAATTAATAAATAAATAAATTTACGTAATCTATGATTGGTAACAATACCCCATGAATTATCATTATCATCACCATCATAATCATCATCATCATTATCATTATCATTAATCAAAATTTAAAAAAAAAAAAAAAGAAGAAAAAAAATCATAGAAAAATCGTAAAGAAAAACTTACCGTTATTATTATTATCATTATTATTATTATTTAAAAATGTTTTTATTTTTTTCTTATGTGAAATTCTCCGAACGAAATAATATTAATAATAATAATGATAATGATAATAATGATAAAAACAAAGCGAATAGTTTTAAGTGTAAAAAATTATTTTTTCCGCCATCGAGAAATATTTTTTTTTTTTTGTAATATCAGGTAATAATTTTCGAGAAAAAAAATTTTTCGCATGGTTTTATTGTTATTATCATTATTATTATTATTATTATTATTGTTATTATTATTATTACTTTTTTTTACG